CGGCCAGGGACATCTCACTGCAGGGTCCGGGCCTGGCCCCTGAACACTGCTACATTGAGAACCTTCGGGGCACCCTCACCCTCTACCCTTGTGGCAATGCCTGTACGGTTGACGGGCTCCCTGTCCGGCAGCCCACCCGGCTCACTCAGGGTAAGGTTTGCTTTCTCCAAATAGGAGCGGGGTGGGGGGGGGTGCTCTGTTTTAAAGCATGACAGGTGCAGGGGAAGCCGGCTGTGGTGGTTACCATGGTAACTGCCTGAGTGGTCACATTGGGAAATAGGGTGCTCAGGTGCCTCCAATATGCCTCCACAGCATTCCAAATGCCTTCAGCACCCAGCCTCGTCTTAAACCTGCTGTTTTCTCATTTCGCCCTATCCCACTTGCCCACGCCACAGGGGGAGAGGTTCCGCTCTTTTGCTATCAAAGCGGGAATGGTGTAGTGGTTATTAATGGTTGTTAGGGGAGAGCGACCACAGCAACAGTGAGGGGAACAATGGCTGTGTGCCATGATGCCAAGAGGGAGTTTTCCTGAAAAGCTGTAGCAGTCAGGGAGAGGGGACACACCTGGTGGGGGTGGGGCAGCAGCAGAGTCTGATGGCAAGGTCTGAGGCCAGCCCTGCTCCTCTGACAGTACTGTGGACAGCAGCTTTTTGAGTCTTTTTTTTTTAGATTTCTTTCTTTATGCATAGGAAATCTAGAGTGTAGGCCAGAGGTATGGGAGGGGGTGAGAGGATTCAGAGTGGGGACAGAGTGGGGAGCAGAACAGGTGGACTGAAATACACTGTTGAGGGGAGCTGCGGTTGAGACAGGAGAGGTCTGCGGTGCTATATGTGGGTCACTCCCTGGATGTCAGGCTGTAGTGGAGATAGTGCTGATACTTAACCCCTAGGCCACCAGGGAGGCCCCGCTTTTTGGGTCTGTTTGTTTTAAAAGATGTATTTATTTATGCATACAAGAACTGGGGTGCAGGTTGAGGTGCGGGGTGTTAGAGGATTCACCAGAGACAGAGATGGGAACAGAATAGGCAGATTGTCGAAGTACACTGCTGAGGGGAGCAGTGGGTGGGACAGGAGAGGTCTGCCGTGCCATGTGGTCAGCTCCCTGGCTGGGGACACTTTCATAGTGCTGGACTTTAACCTTTTGTGCCACCGGAGGGCCCCATTTTTGGGTCTTGACTAGGGTTACCATGCTGTTTCCCAAAGCAACAGGTGATAAGGTAGCTTTAAAAACTGGGCCCCTAGTTACTATAGTGACCAAGCAGGTAAGGGGATGGCCCAAGTGGCACTTTGACAGATCAGGTGTATTTGCTCTGGACATCAGTTTATGTAGTCAATTGTCACATTAAGGGATGAGAAAAATAGGGCCAAGAGGAGGGTGACAGCTTTGGGCTAAGCGTGGCTCTGAGCGGGAAGACACTGACACTGTCCTGGGAACTCTGATGTCCAACTGGCCCGAAGCTCCTCCAGAGTGAACACCCACCCATCCCTGGCTTTCATCTCTCCTGTACACATCCCTTGGGTCTCTTTAAATGCTACTCCCTCACAGCTGACCCAGAAGACCCACTCCTCTTGTCTTTGGGGTTCAAAATGGGGTGATCAACTGACTTCAGGGAAACACACAGGCTCTGGTTTGTTCCAGGGCTTCAACGTCTGTGACCCCAGATAAGAGCAGGGACCCCCATAAACTGGAGCTTTGACTGTGGCTCCATCTGTTTCCTGACTTTCTTCAGTCTCAGAGAGAACAGTCTTCCTCAAGACTTGGCTAGTGGGGAGCAGTAAGGAGAGGTTGGGGCACAGTTCAAAGCAGACTGAAGAGCCCAGTCTGCACGCTCAGAGCAGAATCCCTGCTGAGCGAGCAGCCAGCCAGAAGGCTCCCCATGTGCTGTGCACAGGGCGGGAAACCAGAGCCTTGTAGCGCCCTCTTGCCCACACTTCATTCCCTGGGAAGAGGGAGCGTCTGGAGCCAACAGGGAATTCTTAGGCATTTCCTGTGGCCCCAGTGACCCCCAACTCTTCTTAGCCAGAACCCCACCCTGCCAAGTATGTCCCCTCCCACTCTCCTGACCCTAAACCCTCATCCCTTTCCCCTTCCACCCCCAGCCTTCTTGTCTGGGCTAGCCTGTGTCAGCCACTTGGCAGCCTGCAGGATGGGCAGAAGCACAAAGAGCCGGGTGTTCTTCTCCGGAGCACCCCTCCCCTGGGCTCCAGGAGCTAAGGGTTTCCTTGTCTCATCTCTGGAGCAAGGCACCAAGCCCAGCCCTGCCTGGCCCCACTCCGGACATTCTTGGGAGTGCGTTTCCCTGGAAACTGGGTGGCTGGTGGGGGGGCTGAGGGGTGCATGTGCTATCTCTGTGTCTGTGTAACTGGAGTGTGTTTATGTATCTCCGGATGTGTTTGTGACTCTGGGTTTGTGTATCTCAATGTTTGTGTCTTTCCTTGTTTATGGGCCATTGGGGCAGGGGTAGACTCAGGACTGACACACCAAAGTATCCATGTGTGTATTCCTGCATCTAAGGTTGCTCACTGGCCAAATGCCCCTTTGTGGGCATCTGCGCAAGAGGGTCATTTCCCCTGTCCGACTATCCTGATCCAGAACTGTAGAAGGGACTCTTCTTGAAAAAAACAAAAACAGAAGGCTACCCTAGAATACCCTAGAAGTAACAAGGAACCTACTCTGGACCTTAGATGCGTCATTCTGGGCACTACGCCCAGCCATAGGCAACTTGCAGAGGCCCACGTCATGGGCAGAGATGGCAGTGACAGCCTCTTAGGCAGAAGTGTGCTGAGTCGGGGTGGGGTGGCAGAGAAAGCAGATGCTTGTCTTTTTTTTTTTGAGATTTATTTATTATGCATACAGAACTGGGGTGCAGGTCAGAGGTGCAGGGGCAGGAGGATTCACCAGAAACAGGGTGGGCAGCAGTGGGGAGCAGAACAGGCAGATGGGCAAAGTACACGGCTGAGAAGAGCAGCGGGTGAGACCGGAGAGGTCCAAGCCAGTGGGTCACCTCCGGGGCGGGGACTGAACTTGCACTGAAGCAGCCACAGCTTGGCTTAGCTTCTTAATGCAGCACTCCAACACACTGGGTTCCCAGGGAGAGCCCTTTTTTTTTTTTTATTTATTTAGAGTTATTTATTTATGCATACAGAATGGGGTATAGGCCAGAGGTGCAGGGGCGGTGAGAGGATTCACCAGAGACAGAGTGGGGAGCAGAACAGGCAGATCGACGAAGTACACTGCTGAGGGGAGCAGCGGGCAGGTCAGGAGAGGTCTGCCTCGCCATGTGGTCACCTCCGGGGCAGGCGGGAATCGAACTCATGCGGAAGCGGCTTTAGATTCTCAGTGCTGTGCTTTAACCCGCTGCGCCACCAGGGAGGGCCTTGGCTTAGCTTCTTAATGCAGCACTCCAACACACTGGGTTCCCAGGGAGAGCCCTTTTTTTTTTTTATTTATTTAGAGTTATTTATTTATGCATACAGAATGGGGTATAGGCCAGAGGTGCAGGGGCGGTGAGAGGATTCATCAGACAGAGTGGGGAGCAGAACAGGCAGATCAGACCAAGTACTCTGCTGAGGGGAGCAGTGGGCAAGCCGGGAGAGGTCTTCTGCGCCATGTGGGTCACCTCCCTGGCCAGGGATCTAACTCAGGGATCCAACTCGTGCTGAAGGCAGCTGCTGCTAGCTTTGCAGTGCTGCGCTTAAACCTGTTGCCCCACCAGGGAGGGCCCGCTTGTCTTTAACTAGAGCTATGGCTGCAGCAGCAGAAAGTGAGGAAGCCAGGAAGATCCCGATTGCAGCCCCATACCCAGGAATCCTGGCACATTCCACACTGCTGCCTTCTTTACAGAACAAGAGGAGGAGCTGGGAATAGAAGTAAGAAAATGTGGAGGCGTTTCTGTCTGAAACTGGGCTGCCCCACCCTGAGACCACAGTGCCAGACCACATGAGAGATCGGGAGGAACAAAGTCTGGGAGGCTCCAGAAAGCCACAGCTCAGGGCCCAGGCTGTCTAGACCGAAGGTCCCAGTCCACTCCCATTCACCGCCAGCCCAGTCTCCACGTCAGCTTCGCTCCTGCAGCCCCTCACTGCTTCTCTGGTAGGGGCTTGTGTGAACCTCCCCAGCTGGGGAGGTTTCAAGAATATGCTGAAGAGCCAGGATCCCTGGGTTATCCTCCCTGTGGGTTCCAGGACACCGATTCTCTCCCTCTCTCACCGTGTTATCGGTATTCCTTCTCTGAAGCCTCCAGCCCCCTGATATGAGACTAATAAAGATCTCTAAGAAGAGCTCCAAGGAAGGAGAGGAAAGCCAGGAAGGTGCCCAGCTTTTCACTTCTCTGTTTCTGCCTTCTGCCCTATTTCTCACTGGTGGGCATCCTCTGTGTCGGTGTACATCTGTCCAGCTGGCCATCACAGCCATCACAGTTTCCAGACCTATGAATCACTCTTCCTGAGATTTTTTTTAAAGCCTCCCCCTGTTTTGCATTTGACCCTATATAGTGCTTCCTTTCTCCTTCTGAAGGGGGAGAGGGCCGTGAGTGAGCCTGTGAGCCTGTGCTGTGTAGTACAACAGACATTGTGGGTAGGTGTTCAGCCGGCGTGGAAATCATTTGATTAGCTCTAAGGAGGTAGACTTTTAATTCCAGAGTCTCTCCAGGGACAAAGTGAAAGGATGAGTGCCAGTGAGTGTAACTCCGCGGGGCTTGGTGCCCGCCTGTGGGCTTGTGTGAGGATAAGTGTGTGTGAGCCAGCATGCTTAGCCGGGGTGCTTGTGTGCTCAGTGCTCACGACGGAGGTGGTGTCTGTCTACCATGTCACTGGGCAAGTGCTGGTGATTCTCTCAGAGTGTGAGACTCTGGGCTGTGAGCACTTAGGCTGTGTCTGACAGCACATACAGTGTCCCTTGAGCTCCTGGTATCCAGGGCCCCGGGGCCAGGGTCCAGGACAGGAGGAGCTCTCTGGAGCCCAAAGTGGGCTTGGGTACTTGCCTCGGCCTGACCTGGGCTCCCAGCGACAAGTGGCACTGTGTCTTTCTCCTGGGTGGAAAGTGTACCTGCCTCCAGTGACAGAATTCTCTGCTAGGACTAACACTGTTGGGGGCTCGGGTAGGGGGGTGTTGGGGAGAGGCAGGGTTGGCTTGGGAGAGGCAGCACCTGGGTGCTGAGATGGGGATCTGCTGACCCCAGGGAGAGAGGGGGCGGAAGTGGGGGTATTAGGGTGAAGACAGCAGCTGGGCTCCGGGCTGCTCACACAGCACAGAGCACTGCCTTGGCTTGAGCTCCCAGCCTGGGAGTGACCTTGTCACAGGGGCCAAGAGGCCGGAGCTGGAATGTCACAGCTTAGCCTCTGCTGTGATAGAGGCCAGGCTCCTCATTCTGTAGATAAGGAAGCCAGAGAGTGTGACTGGCCCAAGGTGACCAGTCTGGTAGGGAACTGGGCTGGCTCCATCCAGGCTCTGGTGACTTCCTCCAGCCCTCCCCAGACCCTGCTTCTCCTGCTCCTCCTGCTCCTGCCTCTCCACCCTCTGGCCTCAGTATTTGGTCTTACTTGCCCGGCTGTCACCTGGCCTTCCTTGAGCCTTTGCTCCACGCTGCACTTTTCCCGGGCCCTGGTCGGATTCCCCAGCCCGCTCCCCCTCCTGCATCCTCCAGCCCCGCCCCCTGGCTCCATCCAGCTCCCCTCTCTCCTCCATCACTTCCTCTTCCCCTCCTCCTCTCCTTTGTCCCTCCCTCCCTGGCTCCCTTCCCCCAGCCACGGTTGGCCGGCCCGCCCCTCCCAGGCTTCAGCGGCTCCAGGCTGCCTCGCTGTTAGCTGCTCGGAGCCTGGAGCTGGCGCGAGGGAGGTCGGCCCGCCCCCTCAAAGGTGGGGGGGCCGGCCCTGCACCTGGAGCGCCCGAACTAGCCTGGGCGACCGGTCCGGAGGTCCAGGTTTGGCGGTGAGTCCTCAGCCCAGGGCCAGCCACAGCCCCAGCGGGCGGCAGACAGCTCGCTCTCTCCAGAAGCTTGTGCTGGGAGGGGCGTCTGAGGGATGGAGGACCGGAGTGGGGTCCTCTGCCCCCCTTTGAGAGACTGAGGCTGTGGGGCTCCACGGTGTGTGTGCCCTGAGCAGCTTGAGTGGGAGGTCTGGGCTTGGGGCCACTCCTCAGTGCGGGCACCCCTTCCAGGGGCTGAACTCCCTGCCTCGGGGTGGGGTTGGGGGTCCTGGCTGGGGTGTGTGGAAGCTGTGTTATGGCTCAGCCGAGCTTCTGATGGGAAGGGCCAGAGCCTTTTCTCCCATTTTCTCCTCGGTCCAGCCGCCTTTGGCCAGTCCATTCTGCTTGTGCAGCCAGCAGGGCAGGCACTGTGGTTTGTGAGTGTGGGCGTGTTTGCCTGTGTCTGCGAGCTGGATGTTCCTGAGTGTGTGTGAGCCTTATGAGAGGGTGTTTGTGTGTGGTGTTTCCCCTCTGCGTCTCTCAGAGGTGGGCTCCACCCTCTCCTTTGCCCTCCATAGCCCCCCCTGTGTGGCACCTCCACCCACCTGGCCCTGAGTCCCTTGGGCGTTGGGGGCATGGAGCACAGCTTCTCGTGGGTGAGCCGGTCCTGCCTTTCCTGAGCAGGCTGACCTTGGGAGGTGTGGTGTGGGGCAGAAGTGGCCAGACAGGAGGTTTCTTTCCTGAAATAGGCTGTTCTGGCCCCTAGAGGTGGTAGGGACCAGCGTCAGGGCCATGCCTGGGGCCCCTGAATACAAATAGAAAGTTAATTTGGGCAGAAGCTGGGCTGCTGTCAGTCCTGCCGCCCTCCTGCCCGCTCTATTAATACAGATTCAGCTTTGCCGCCTGGCATCACCTATTTATAGCCCAGAGGCAGCATGGCCACACCCCTGTGTGGAGGTGGGTGAGGGGCAGGGAATGCAGACCATCGGAGTTAGGGCAAAGGGTCTCCAGTGCCCTCAGCCTCCGTGGCTGGGCCTGGCACTGATGGCTGGAATCCACCCAGACTCCCACCTTCTTCCCAGCATGGACAGTGTGGTCAAGTTCCTGACCCCTCCCTACCCCCCATCAATCTAAGGTTGAGTGGGTCTGTCTAAACCCTGCAAACTGAACTCCTCATTAATTAGACTGTTAAATGGCTGGAAGCGGAGGGGGCTGGGAGAGTGCTTTCTGAAACAGCTGTGGTTGTAATTAGCTGGACGGTGTGGCTGGCTATTATTTATTCCGGTTATGATTACTCTGAGATCAGCACCTCTGATTGGGGGCTTGGCCAGGAAGCCTCCCCCTTCTTCTAACCACCTTTAGAATTGTTGGTGCCGGCCAGCTTGGGAGGGGCTGTGGTGCCAAAGAAGTGTAGGTGACTTTGGCCATTACGGTTGTCTGCTATGGCTCCTCAGCCTGCTAAACTCCCACCCACAGCAGTGCTTCGATCCCAGCAACAGGCTCCTAAGCTTCTCTGGAGGGAGTGTGCCAAGGTACCCACGTGGCCTGGGATGCCCCTTGCCCTTGCTCCTTGCCCGAGTTGAATGCCTCAGCGTCCAGGAATGTCGACTTCCCTGCCAGTCTTGGCTCAGATTGGCATAAAGCTTGGGGCACCAAATGGCAGCAGAGTGGGCAGACAGGAGACTGCGTCCATGGGCCGGGGGCATAGACCGGTTGGAAAGGTGGGTGGTAGAGAGCACCAGGATTCTGGCTTCTTCCTCTGACACAGGGTGTGGCCAGGAGGAGGAGGCCTGCCAGCCAGCCTCAGGCGCCTGTAGGCATGCCTGCTGGTGCACACTCGTGGTGCCCCTGGCTACATTTTCTGGCTCCCGTGTGCCCTCCCCTCTCCATGTACTCACACTTCCCTGGGCAGGACTGGGCTTGCACCTATTGCCTGGGAATGCGCTTGGCTGGGCCCAGTGGCCTAAGCATGGCTAGATTCCAGGGGAGACCAAGGAGCAGGAGCTGTCAGGCCAGACAGGGATTTGTCAGACAGAAAGAGGGTGGAGATCACACCCTAGTGTTAGAAAGAGCAACAGGTCTACTAAGACCACACAACAAGAAGTGGGAGCTGGGAGGCAAGTCCTGGGCCCTGCCGGGGTCCCCTATCTACCCCTCCCCAGCTTTTTTGTGATCCTGAAAATTGCCATTCAGACTGACCTTGTTACCCAAGGGGCAGATACATGGGTCATGGGTACAGATTGGGGGGCATGGGTGTCTCTTCTCTGAAGGATCATCTTCACATACTCTCTTACCTGTGAGGTCAGTGGGATTATCCTTACCCAAGAACGAGGCTCAGAACAGGTGTAGTGACTTCACCAGCTGGTGAGAAGAGGAGCAGGCCAGGGGAATCGCATGCTCGCACCAGCACTTTTCCCACTGTGTGAGCCATGGCGCCCTGGCCGTGCTGTCTCCAGCACAGGCCAGGCAGGAGTGGACCGTCCGGGCACTGTGAAGATAGGGAGGGATGACCAGAAGCGGGGTTGGCCCACCAGAGCTGCGGGTGAGTTGCTGGCACCTCCAAGTATGCCTTGCTCTCTCCACAGGCTGCATGTTGTGCCTGGGCCAGTCCACCTTCCTCCGCTTTAACCACCCGGCTGAAGCCAAGTGGATGAAGAGCATGATTCCGGCAGGGGGCCGGGCCCCGGGGCCCCCCTACAGCCCTGGCCCTGGTAGGTACCAGTGGGGCCGAGTGTTGGGTTGGTGGGACTCCTCGGGCAGTGCTCCTCTGTGCCCACTCCAGTCACACGTGTAGTGTCAGGGCAGGATGGTGCCCATGATCTGGGCTTGCTGCCACCTGCCCTGGGTCACTGTGGAGAATGCCAGGCAGTCTGGCCACTGGGAGAGATCCAAGTGTTGCTTGGAGTGTACTGGGGAGTCACGTGCCCAGGGGATGGAGGGCCCTGCCATCCTGACTTGAAAGATGCCACTTCTGTGTCTGGGACCCCGACCCTCTGTGTCACCACCAGGGATCCTCACCCTCAGGATGGTCTTCGGGGGAAAAAGGAACTATTAGATTGAACCCCTATAAACTCTGGTGGGCCCCACCTGCTGGCAAGCATGTCCATAGGCCCAGCCCTACCCCTAGGCCATGCCATGCCAGCTGATGACTCAGAGGAGCAGCTGTAGTTTCTGCGTGAATTATTGATCCCCAGAGAGTTGGCGATTGTCCCAGGGAACCAGAACAACCTCTCTTAGCCCAACTGTGTAGGGGATGCAGGTAGACCATGAGGCTGCCTGTGGGCCTACCACCCCAGACTCAGCACTGACATTCAGATGGCTGCTGTGGTACTGGGACAAGTGGACATGTATGTCAGGCACCTGGGGAGGTGGCATCAGTGACCTGCATGGAAGTCTGAGGAAGAGTGGGTGGTGGATCAGATCACAGGTATCCACGGCAGCCTCTCTAATTGTGGTCCTACACAGTTTGGGTCCATAATTTTGGACCCAAACTCAATCTTGCGAAGGCTTTCCCTGCTGATCCCTCCCACCCCCAGTCTTCTCCAGCTTCTGGGGGATTCAGAGGCTTAGGTTCCCAGTCCACTCCCTGACTGATTAGCTTTACCCGCCCTCTCCCCTAACTACTACTGGGGCAGTGGGTCCAGTGACTTCTAGTTGGCTGATGAGGGCTTGGACAGGGCAGAGGCAGGCTCTGGCCAGCCTGGCGTCCAGGAATTAACCCTTGGCGCTAGCCGCCTTCCTGGCCTCTGATTGGACAAGGTGGTGCAGCCCACCTCCCTCACGCAGGCCTGGAGGCTTTGTGTGTGTTTCTCCTGGGTCTTGGCTGCTGTGTTCAGAGGCCCTAATGTCCTGTTAGGCTGGGGCCACCTATAACCTCTGGCTCGCCCCCTCCCCCTCTGAGAGGATCAGCCTGCCCTTCCTGAAAGAAAAGAATAGGAGGTGGGAGAAATTGTCACCAACTCTGTCCTAAGTCATAAAATGCGAGAGCCAGAGAGCCTCTGCCCATGGGTCTCTTCAGAAAGGGAAACTGAGGGCAAGGACATGGGAAAGGTTATACCGCAGGTCACGGCAGAGCTGGCACCAGGACCCTGGTGTCCTGGCTGCTTCTCTGAAGCCTCTGCACTGCCGCTCCCAGAGTCGAAGCCCAGGGCCTAAGGCTTCTTTGCGTTTCCCATCAGCAGAATCAGAAAGCTTGGTGAATGGGAACCACACCCCGCAGTGTTCATCCCGGGGGCCCTCAGCCTGTGCCAGCCACAGCTCCCTGGTGAGCTCTATTGAGAAGGACCTGCAGGAAATCATGGACTCACTGGTGCTAGAGGAGCCCGGAGCTGCTGGAAAGAAGCCTGCTGCAACCTCCCCGCTGTCTCCCATGGCGAATGGCGGGCGCTACCTGCTGTCTCCCCCAACCAGCCCTGGGGCCATGTCTGTGGGCTCCAGCTATGAGAACACCTCTCCAGCCTTCTCGCCACTCTCCTCACCAGCCAGCAGTGGCAGCTGTGCCAGCCACTCACCCAGCGGGCAGGACCCAGCCCCTGCCATGCCCCCGCTCGTACCCGCTCGTTCCTCCAGCTACCACCTGGCCCTGCAGCCCCCACAGCCCCGACCTGGCGGAACCCGCTCCTCTGAGAGCCCCCGGCTGGGCAGGAAGGGGGCTCATGAACGGCCTCCCAGCCCCGGCCTCCGGGGTCTGCTCACAGACAGCCCTGCGGCCACTGTCTTGGCGGAGGCCCGCAGAGCCACCGAGAGCCCCCGGCTCGGTGGGCAGCTCCCCGTGGTGGCCATCAGCCTGAGTGAATACCCTGCTTCCGGTGCCCGCAGCCAAGCCGCCAGCATTCCTAGCAGCCCCAAGCTCCAGCCGCCCGTCCCTGCTCCCCGCAACAAGCTCGGTACACTCCAGGACCGCCCTCCCAGCCCCTTCCACGAGCTGCCAGGCTCCGAGCGGGGGTTGACAGCCAGCCCCTCACGCCAGCTGGTGGCCCGGACATTTTCAGATGGGGCAGCCACCCGGACCCTGCAGCCTCCTGAGAGTCCCCGCCTAGGCCGGCGGGGCTTGGACAGCATGCGAGAGCTCCCTCCCTTGAGCCCCTCTCTCTCCCGGCGGGCTCTCTCCCCCATGCCTGCCCGGACCACCCCAGATCCCAAGCTAGCCAGGGAAGTGACAGAGAGCCCCCGACCCCGGCGCTGGGCGGCCCACGGGTCTTCCCCAGAGGACTTCTCCCTGACGCTGGGGGCACGGGGCCGTAGGACACGGAGTCCCTCTCCTACGCTTGGGGACTCTCTGGCACCCCGCAAGGGCAGCTTCAGTGGCAGACTGAGCCCGGCCTATAGTCTGGGCTCCCTGACTGGGGCTTCACCCCGCCAGAGCCCCCGTGCCCAGAGGAAGCTCTCTAGTGGAGACTTGCGGGTGCCGGTCACTCGGGAGCGGAAAAATAGCATCACGGAGATCAGCGACAATGAGGACGACCTCCTGGAGTACCACCGGCGGCAGCGCCGAGAGCGGCTCCGGGAGCAGGAGATGGAGAGACTGGTGAGCAGGTGCCAGGCAGGCCGCCACCGGCCCTGCGGGACCACTCCAGGGCATGGCCCGGCCAGGTGGCAGAGTGGGGGGACAGGCCCTGGGCTTCCCTAGCTCCCCTACTCCAGCCTTCCGCACAGGGACCACTATCTCAAGGAACTGGTGGCCTGACGAACTGTCTTTGGAGTCTCTAGAGCTTTATATATTAACTTGTTATTTATTTTTGCATAGAACTGGGGCACAGGCCAGAGGTGCAGGGGGTGAGAGGATTCACCAGAGGCAGAGTGGGGAGCAGAACAGGTGGATCTACTGAAATACACTGCTGAGGGGAGCAGCGGGCGGGGCGGGGCGGGAGAGGTCTGTGTGTCATGTGGGTCAGCTCCCGGCTGGGGACGGAACTCAGGCCACAGTGTGGTGACAGCACTGAGACAACCCTTAAGCCACCAGGGAGGCCCCTGAGGCTTTAAGTTTATACTAATTTTCTATTGATTGCTAACACAGCGTTAGTTTTTTTTTTTTTTTTTTTAAAGATTTATTTATTTATGCATACAGACTGGGGTACAGGCCAGAGGTGCAGGGCGGCGAGAGGCTTCACCAGAGACAGAGTGGGGAACAGAACAGGCAGATTGATGAAGTACACTGCTGAGGGGAGCAGCGGGCGGGTCAGGAGAGGTCTGCCACGCCATGTGGTCTCCTCCGGGGCAGGCGGGAATCAAACTCATGCGGAAGCGGCTTTAGATTCTCAGTGCTGTGCTTTAACCCGCTGCGCCACCAGGGAGGGCCAACACAGCGTTAGTTTTAATGTATAAATTACATGTCACAGTACTGACCTGAATATACTGAAGCTTTAAGAAAACGCACAGGCCCCGGGGTAAATGTCTCTGGGCCTGAGAAGTGGGTCTTAACAATACGGCTGAAGTCCAGAGAGGGGACTGGGTTGGTTCAGCGTCACGTAGCCGGTGCTGGCAGAGAGCTGGAATGAGAATCCAAGCCTCCCGACTTTCCATGTGTCTGAGGCTTGTTCCTGGGAAAAGCTCTTCCTCCCCTTTCTTGCTTCTCTTTGGCCTCTATGAATTGATGGGAGTTGCTCGCTCTGGCCCATGCAGCAGCATCCGGGAATGTGGATGGCAGGAAAGAGGAAGCGAACAGGATGGTCAGCCACCAGCCTGACCTTGGCCAGCACGTGTGTGTGTGCGTGTGCGTGTGCATGCGTGTGGCGGGTGCGTTTTGGGGGCTGGGTGTGGCTGTGGGCAGCTGTTCTGGAGATGGCATCTACGCTGGGTGGGGGCCAGGATTCTCCAGATAGCACAGGGAGCTCAGGGGCATCTGGCGAGTGTAAACACTCTTGAGCACGCATGCAGGAGAATGCATTCCGACCTTGTGAGGAGGATGGGGCTCCCGAGGGCCCAGGGACGTGGGGTTTGGTGTGAGGAGGTGAGCCGGGACTGAGGTTTGTCTGGGTAGCCTTCCAGGAGAGGCTGGGATAGCTTTGGGTGCGGTGAGGGTGTGGGACAGCGTGTTTGTGTTGGGTAGGGGGAGAAGGCTCAGGCGCCCGTCTTACCTGTTGCTACATCTTTTCTTTACTGTCTTTGCTTTGGTCTAGATGAGAATGCTTGGCCCACCCTGGGTCTCATCCTGGAGAGGGGGCCATGAGCCTGGCACAGGGAGCATGGTGGGCCCAGCCTCCCCCCACTCTTCCCTACAGCCTCCCCCCCTCGCCCCCCTCCCCCCCACTAGCCTAACCACCAGCCCTAACCTGCCCCACCTGCCACTTTAAATCTTGGAGGCTGCTGGCCTTGCCCCTCCCACCTCTGCCAGGGTGCTTATCTGGGTCCTGGGGCAGGGGTGGGGGCGCTGGTCTGCCTCCTGGGCGCTGAGGTCCTGTTCAGGTTATTTTTGCCATGGAGTTAGGCAAGCAGCAGGAGGGAAGCTGGGTAAGTGTCTGGGGGCTCATGGCCAAACTGGTGAGAGACACCGAGATTAAGGAACCCTGGAGGGCCATGGGAGCCCGGGACCCTTCAGTGCAGGGAGGTTGTGAATGGGAGAGGGAGACGCAGACTGGGAGCATGGGTGGACCCTCTCCGCACCTCCTAAGCCCCTGGAGGTGTCAGAGTCTGCGGGGAGGGGCCAGACGAAGTGGCAGGGCCTGGAGGCTCTCCCTCTGGGGCTGGGCCTTCTAATGCAGCGGCCCACCCTGGGGGAAGGAGCCCCTTGCAGCTGAGGTGGGGGGAGGCCCCAGGCCCAGTTCTGTCTGACTGGAGCACATCTTCGTGCGAACCTGCGTCAGGCCCCTGTGGACCCCAGGGCTGGTGTCCGGCTGTGTCGGTGCCCACCTGTCTGTTTGCTAGACTGTGTTTATCTGGGTGAGTGCCTCAGCGTGAGTTTGGCATGTCAGGGCCGCGTCTCTCTCCCGCCTGTTGCCCCACACCCAGCGCACACGCTGTGTCCTGTGTTGGTGCGGGGGTCCCTCCGTGTGGGTCTGCGTGTGCCGTATCTGACGAGCACCCAAGTGTCTTCGCTGCTGTGGTCTCGGCATGCGCCTGTGTGTCCCCGGGGAAGCCCACGCTGGGGTGGGATGAGAAAGGAGACGGAGAGGGGAGGAACCAGGTGGCACAGCAGCCGGCTCACTCTGGGGCACCCTCCTTCCCTCTGCCCCCTCGGACTTTGGGGTCGGGGCTCCCCTAACTGCATCTGGGTCCTGAGCTCCCAGTGTCCTCGCTTACTCTCCTGACAGGATACTGTGTCTGGCTCTAGCCCTGGGCTCCTCCCCTCATACCCTGCTCTGTCCACTCTCCCCAGGAGCGCCAGCGCCTGGAGACCATCCTGAACCTGTGTGCAGAGTACAGCCGGGCTGACGGGGGACCCGAGGCTGGGGAACTGCCCAGCATTAGGGAGGCCACTGCAGCACTGGCCCTGGCAGGCAGGAGGCCCTCACGAGGCCTGGCAGGGGCCGTTGGGGCCTCTGGGCGGAGCAGTGAGGAGCCTGGGGGTGCTACCCAGCGCCTGTGGGAGAGCCTGGAACGCTCAGATGAAGAGAACCTCAAGGAGGAGTGCAGCAGCACTGAGAGCACCCAGCAGGAGGTGGGGTGTGGCCAGGGGGGCAGGGTGAGGGGCTGGGTCAACTGCTGGGAGACAGAGGAGGCAGGGTGGTGGGTACCAAGGCCCTGGGAAGGGGGAGGGACGGAAGGATCACGTCTGGGACGAGATCAGGGGTGAAGGACCTAGAAATGAGGAGGCCAGGAGATGCTTTCATGACCTGCCTTTCCGGGGCCGCACGGGGCCTGGCACTATTCCTTGGAGCTGAGCATGCTCCGCACCCTCCAGGGAGGGGAGCTTGCCTCTTGTGGGTCCAGCCACCCCTTTCAAATACCCTGAGGAATGGGGAGCCATTCTCTTATTATATGATTTTGGAAGACTCTAGGCATCCTCAGCTGATGGCTTTCCTCCCTTCTAGCATGAAGAGGCGCCGGGCGCCAAGCTCCAGGGAGAGGTGCTGGCCCTGGAAGAGGAGCGCGCTCAGGTCCTGGGGCGCGTGGAGCAGCTCAAGGCGCGCGTGAAGGAGCTGGAGCAGCAGCTGCAGGAGTCGGCCAGAGAGGTGAGTGTGAGGAGCCTGACCGCTGTGTCTTCAGGCGGACTAAAGGCCCCCTGGAGAGGGGAGAGGTGCCTGCTTGCCACTGCCTTGTCTAGCCTTGATGTGGCCCCTGGTGTCGCCCCCAGGCTGAAATGGAGCGCGCCCTGCTGCAGGGGGAGAGGGAGGCTGAGCGCGCGCTGCTGCAGAAGGAGCAGAAGGCTACAGAGCAGCTGCAGGAGAAGCTGGTGACCCTGGAGACGGGCATCCAGAAAGAGAGGGACAAGGTAACCCAGCCAAGCCCGGTCCAGTGTGGGTCCCAGTGGCCTGAGAGGACAGATGCCTTTCCTGGGTCCTCCTCACCCGTCCTACAAGCCAGGTGGTTTCTGTGCCCCTTCAGGGGCAGAGGGCATTGTCCTCTGTGGTAGAGGGCGCTGCCAGGGGCTGGTGTCTGGGGTCTCTGTTTGATCTCTGTGCTACCTCCGGATGCCTGGGTCCCTGCCATTCTGGGCCTCTGTGGGTCTTCTCAGAAGTGCCAACGCCTCTTCTTGGGCAGTGAGCGTAGCTTGAGCGGCTGGTGCTGGGGAGCGCCTCAGGTGTGGGTCTGGGGAATGTCTCCCTGGAGCATGCCACGCCTTGGGTGCTCAGGACTGGGCCTTTGGCAGACGGCCCCGGGGCTCTGCTTCTCCTGAGTCTTCAGGATCTGCGACTTCTCATCCCAGATGGTCCCAGCTCCCGCCCCTGCCCCTTTCAGATTTCGAGCCAACCTGCAGGGCCTACTCCATCTCACAAGGGCAGTGCCAGCCACGCCCACGATGCCCAACACCGTGCCAAAAGCTCTGAAGCGGAGGGGCCATCTATTTCTGGATGTGACAGTATTTTCCCAAGAGTTAATTTTCTTCTAGATTTTTTGAGTGTCTTCCTCCTGCCCCTTAATTTTGAAGTTCTTGTAAATTCTGACAACCCCTCCTCCCTTTTTTTTGAGCTTTGGCTCTGGCCCGTAAAACCACACTCCCAAATTCTGTGCCAAATTAACTCCACGCTTCCCTACCAGGACGCACTAACGCCCCCTCTAATCACCGTCCTGGCCTGGTGCATGCTCCTAACTGCCAGCGCCACCCAGGCGGGGCTGTGCCATGCCTGCTTTTACACTAACTCCTTGGGCCCTTGGCCTCTCCCCATGGATGCTGCCTCCTTCCTTTCTTGGTGTGGGACCCCAGGATTTTGGTCAAAAAGGAATGGGCAGGGGCACAGCTCAGCTTCTTACTGGTGCTTTGGCAGGAGGGGTGCAAGCTTAGGAGAAGCGCCCGGTGAGGAGCTGCTTAGCCCACAAGCTCCTCCCATTTGGAGAAGACCCGGGTGGGGTGGGGGCCTCAGGCTGGGCAGATTCCTGTACTGTTGGGGGGGGCAGGCTGTCCTCCAGCTGGCTGTCCACCTTCCCTCTGGGGCAGGGGGTCAGGAGCCATGGTGGTGGCTTGGGCTACCAAGGGGTGTGTGGGCAGGTCCTCTGCTTGTCATACAGTGGCTAC